ATCACACCAGGACACAGAATCCCTACGGACAGATTCTGATTTAATCTCTACTTAAAATCATAAAGGCAACACTTACATAGAAAAGCCGATAATGGCATTTCAACATAGTGGTTTTCACTGCCACATTACGTGCTTTAAAAAGACATCTACAAAAGTTGCAGATCAACCTCGGTGCAGGTAGCAGGAGAAAATCCTGAATACACATTGTTATTTCTCATAAACCACAAACCAGTGCCTTAGAAAATTGCAGCAATGGAGCACTAACAGCATCTAGCTCTTTATAGCTCTTTTCAGACTGAAGGAAAACGAACTGCAGTGCTGTAAATCAAAGATTAACTTCTATAAACTATCTCTCATGTTGGTGATCTTGAGTTAAAATGTTAAAAATATTACCTCCATTTTGGGATTACAGCTCTTCCTCACCTAGACTTACTTTTATTGAAATGAAATAAAAGGAAGTCTACTTTCTATGTGAAAATATATTTTAAAATTTGGTTACAGTTGCCAATACCAAACCCTGATAACATGCAGAATTTGTGACACTTCTTCACAAATGATACAGTAACAAAGACCAGGCAGGAATAAATAGCAGTTTGACTTCAAGCCCATCATCCTTACCCATAAAAGTAAATCTTTCCTCACTGTACAAAAGGGTTCACAAGATAAAGTATGAAAAAAAAAAATTAAATTAAATAACTTACATATTTTCTCTTAAAGCATCTCTGTAATATAATTTAGTGACAGTTTATATCTTGCAATTATATTACTGTATTTTACAAATTGAAACATGAAGAAATGGTATTACGTTAAATTAAAAAAAAAAATCCCACCATACATAACAGTATCAACAGTCTCAGATTAAACCTACACATACTTTAAATCTCTAGTAAAAGAACGAGAATGAAGCTGATTAAATCTAGATTTTAAAAAAAAACAACAAAAACCAACAATCTGCAACTGATTATCAAGAATGCACTTGAGACAGAAGCAAGCACCAGATACCCTAGGCTACACCTCACATTTCAACACTTACTGAAGGATTAGGGTTTTCAGGGAAGGACCATTATTTGTAAGACCTTACACGCTTAAGCAATAGCAAAACAACTGCAAATGCATTTGTTAAATGTAGTTGCAGGTTTTCAACTAAGTGATAGGGATGCTTTTAAGGAGAGACAGAGCTGAAATTGTTCCTCTTCAGAGGCAGCTACAGTGTAATCTCCAACTGCTTTGTCTGAGATGGTGCTCAAGTTGTCCAGGCTGTCCATTAGAAATAAGGAGGAAATTCAAATGTAATAGTATGTGACCCAGCTCTTGTGATGAATAAATCTCCCCAGGCTTTAGCAGTTTGAATAAACAAACAAATGTTTAGATGCTTATTATAAGCTCTTTGATTTGCAAACTTGTGCTAGCTCTCTCATGAGAACAGACTTAGTGCAACTGCTGGTATTTCCAAAATCTGTGTGGGCCAGAAGTAATGCAAAAATACACTCTTTGGCAACACTTCAGCTTTCTAGCAGCTGGCTAGAACCAAAGCAACAAAGGCACAGGGAAATGGCAATTAAATAAATTAGATTTCTTTAACGCCGTAGAAAGATTCTGTTTATGTAAGTGGAAAACATTCCTATCTATTGTCTGTCACTTTGTTTTTAAAGTAAAAGTGGGGTTCTGAAATTTAAAAAGGTACAAAGTAGCTGATTTTTATTTTTTTTTAATGGTAGTTGTGTGCTGTTACACTGAAGACAGTACACCTTTAAAGAAAATATTTAAGAAGATAAAAAGGAACATCAGATTTCTCTAACACTTGACGCAAAAGTTCCTTCTGTTTTTTCTCCCACTTTGTCAAAGTACCTGGGGCATGCCTATATAAATAAATGAAAAACCTCAAACAACTCTCAAAAACGAGTAAGCTGCATGGTTGTTGAAAACTTAAGTCACATCATTGTCTACCAGGCTTCTCTCTACTCATCTGCTGTCTCTTGTCTTAAGCTGTTTGTGGGTACCTAATTGCTAACCAGAGTTCTTTGGTGCTACAATAGTAAAGTAAGTTATGTTGATAAGAATCTGGTCACAACTATACCTAACAAGCCAGGAAATCTCAAATATTTTTTAAGCCTAAAACCTGATCACTTTATTTCCCTCTGTAGAATGGATATTTTAAAATATTAGATGATCTGTAGGGAAGCTCCTCAGTAATACACCTCAAACTAGTTCAGCTGGCAAACTTAAAAAAAAACCAAACAAAATGACAAACTGAGTAATTTGAAATCTAACTGGCAAAAGCCTTCTGCAGTGACCTCCTGAAGTAGCTAATGAACTTTATTACAAGTGTAATGAAGGAGAAGCTCTCTGCCCTGTCTGCTGTTCCTTGAAGAGACTGAGTATGTGTGTAGTGCAGCAGTGGGGGCCATGGCATCTATCCAAAATTGTAGGCTATGTGTACATCTTGTTTGTATTTCTGTAATTTAGAGATGCATCCTTTTAATATTTATTTGTTTATTTTTAAAGGTTTGCAGTTTAGTTCAAAACAAAAATCAAGCTTCAATTACCCAGGAATTAGTAAAAAAAAAAAAAAAAAAAGCTTGCTGGTTTTCAAACAACAAAACAAAATTGATCTGAAACAGGAAAAAAACAGTTTATGCACTTCCTAATGCTGATAATGGGAACCTGCTACAAGCAGCTGCTAATACAGCTGAACTCTGTGCCTTCTACTAAAAGATGCTGGTTTCAATTCTTTACAGTTTTGCTAAGAATGTGTTTATTAATAATTTTTCTATGTTTTTAAAAACATAGAAACTTTAAAAACATAGAAACTTTTTTAAAAGTTTCAGGAAAGTGTTTTAGCCACTTTTGAGAGCAAGAGTGGGAATTTTTGTCCACACTGACCGTGTCTGTTTTTCCTGAGAAACTTCAGTGCACCCAAACTATGGAACACAAGTTAGAAATTTGCCTTTTGCATGAATCTGAGCTTCGGGGTGAAAAAAAATAAATCAGCTTATAATTTTTTTTAGGAAATAAACCAGTTGGCTATTAGAGTTTCAGCATGCCATCAGAGAATGGCTGATATTTTGACATTTTTTTTGAGGAAGCAATATTGAATATCAATTGTTTTAATGCTCTATGTCTTATGCCTAAACCCCACAGCTCCTTAGTGGAACATGGCTGACTTGAAGAATAAAGCAGCAGCATTGCCAAAATCCTCTTGTTAATTCTGGGAGCATATTACATGCTGCTGTAAGACACAAAAGACCCATTTCTTGTCTGATGATTCCTGGTAAGACCAAATAACTTCTCATAATGAAGTGTTAGAAGTAGCTGCAGTGCAAGGCCTGTTCTTCCTGCTGCCCACTGGCAACAGGGAAGGGGAGTTTTGTGCACGAGCATTTAGTGTTTCTATCCTGCCCCAGCTGGTCACCAAATCTGAGGCCCATGCTTCAATATTTTACACTAAACATATCTGACACTAAAACTTCTGCTAACAACCATTGCCTGGATAAATACCAAAGTGCTTTTAAATCTGTAATTCATTCAGTGTCTAGCCATGGCAGTGGGCCTGTAAAGAAACAAATGTTGTGACTACAGTAAGAACAATGTGATGTTCTCACTTCGTGGATCTTATTTAATTCTTGCAGTGAAGGTTTAAGACTCTGAAGTCTTCAAACATGCTACTATGAAACAACACTCCTCCTGTGCCAGTGAATGCTTAACTATTGTGAAAATTGACTCCTGAGATCTTTGTCCTCTGAAACAAATAGTAAAATGAGGAAAGAATGATGTGAAGTTACCATATTAAAAAGAAAAAAAAAAAAAAAAGGATAGTGTCTTGCATGCAACTAGCACTTTTGTGTAGTACTCTCTGCTAAATGATCCTTTAAAATGGTAACATCAGGCAGTTTCCTTATGGCTTATTTTGAATCCAGAGTAAGTACTATTGTAAAATCTGAGTTTGCTCTCAGAAACATGATAAACATTTCTCAGCTGTGCTCTCTTTCATAATATTACACAATCAACATCTACAAACCCAGTTCTTGGTAATACTGTCACCTTCCCCCCCTGTGGCTGTATGAGAGAACAAGATTTGGTGAAATGACCTAGCTAACCCTTCTATCAATAAGGCCTAAGAAGGAATAGAAAGACATATATCCAAGTGGATAACTGGAAAAAACAAAACAGTGTATTCATTAGAAAAATAAACAGGTCCAAACAATTCAAAGCCACTTAGGTACTTGTCAAGAAAGAAGATGCCTTTCCTATCAACCACTTCTTCAGAGTGAGCTATCACTGCACTAGAAAGCTGTCAGTTGAAATTCTTTTTTCTGGGCTACGATCAAACTTTTCGGTCTCTCCAAAACTCTTGCTAATTCAAAACAGTATTTTAAAGTCAAAACTGCGTCTTGAGCTATTAGAAGTTCTCCAAAATACACATGGTAGGATATATTTTTCCTCAGGCACATATTTCCTTAAAACACTCTTGAAAAAAGGGTTCCATTGCTTTATCACATTTACTCCTCAACAAACACCTGAATGGTGCATCTCTGATGTATTTTAGATTACTCTTGGGATTTTATTTCATTTTTTAAAAGAACTTTCATTTAAACATGCTAATCCTAAGGTACAGTGATGTGTAATACTGTATGAAGCTGCACTGCATTTCATGGAATTAAAGCAGCAGCAGATCAAAGGTCTTTCAAATTTTTCAGACGTGTATGTACAGTATTATCCAACCATGTGTTACACCTAGACTGGCTGCAGTAAGGAAAAGTGTTAGTTGGTTCTCAGCAATTACCATTAGCCAAAAGTGCATTAATTTTTATGATTGTGCATATACTTGGAGAGAATTTGCTGAATTTGTTACATTAACTCTAAAATGACTAAGAGCCAGGAGGAAATACAGTTTTGTTCATTTCTGTTACTTAACATTCTGATTTATTATACAAAGATGTATTCCTTACCAATCTTTGAATTTCCAAATGAAAGAACCATTATAAGAAACTTCATGAGCACTATGATCAGTATTTTTCTGCAGAACTCTTTCAAAAGGAAACAAAAGATCCCAAACCAAAAGAAGTGTAACACTCCAGTTATCCAGCTTTTAGATTTCTCATGCTCTGGGCTGAGTGAACAGCAGATAACCATGCAAGTAGTTTTGCTCCCATCTGTTACTAGTATTGCTCTTGTCTTTAAATATTGTGAAAAAAAAATAATACTAAAAGTCCTTAATACATATCCCTGTAGATTTCCTGTAGTAAAGGGTGTAAATGTGCATCAGATTCAGTCTTCTTAATTATCTGAACGAGCTGAGCATGCTCTGTGACAAGTTGTCGGAGGTCAGCCATTTTTTGGAGAAGTTTTGGAAAGAGGAAGATGTCATCAGGATGGTTGGTTTGCAAGTGAAGTTTCAGTACATGCACAATGCTCTCCTGCATTTTTTCAATGTGTCCTACATTTACAAGACCAGGACGATCTGTTCTCAAAAAAAAAAAACAACAAAAGAATACATGTCATAATTTTGTAATTATTCTTTTAAGTAGGCTGCTTTATAGATTCTATATTGTAGACAATATCTTTACATTATGCACTGGGGAAAATGGAAAAGGGGGAAAGGGAAAGAAAGGGGAAAGGGAAAGAAGGGGGAAAGGGAAAGAAGGGGGAAAGGGAAAAAAAAGTAGTCTTCCGTATCCCTTTGGCCAAAGTTTTGATAATGCCACAGTTATCTGAGGAGACATTTCACACTACTAAATACAACCCATGCTACAAAAAAACCACAAACTCACAACACCCTCTCACCCCAAAACCCAGCAGAAGAATCAAGCCTAGGAACCCAGTTCTACATTCTATGTGTCCCAACAGCAGAATTCAAATAGCAAGAACAGAGAACAAAAGGACCTGGCTATGTCTAGAGAGTTCCTGAAGTTTGGCAGCAGTACAGCTTGACATAAGGAACAGTCTTTCACTCTTCCCATGTGTACATTGCCATAGCACAAGATTTTGACAGGACGTAGCGAAGAACTCACTAAGTGTGCTTCCCTCTTTCTAGTATGTGATCTCATTTTCAGCTACTTAGGAGTTCTCTAATACCTTCACTCTCCAGATCAAACTCCTCTGAAAGAAGCCTGGGACAACAGACAAAATGTGTTTCTTGGAAACACATTGCTAGTTCAAAGGAGAAGAATTAGAGGGGGATAAAACCAGCACAAAATACTTTCTCTGCAAACTCTCATGACTTTTGAAAAGGTCATGATACCAATGTATTGTGCAAAAGTAATTCAAGATATGATGGGAACTTGCTGTCTAAACTATCACATTAAGCTTTTGAAAGTTTACAGAGTGTATCTCTCGTCTTGTAATTTGTGAGGATACAGCCAGGGCAGTGAAACATGCAATGAGTTTGGCAGAATGCAAAAAAAGCCAGGTGGGAGCAGTTGGAACTTGATCTCTTCTTTCCTTTTCTTAAAATGCGTACGGATAGTTTTGAATTTAACCTTAAATATGAGCTCCCTTACTTTCTGGAGGAAAGAAAAGGTTCTAAATCACATTCGTGTTTCTTCACTCATAATGAGTTCAAACAATGGGGCATTAAAAAAACACCAAGCCCACATCCTTAGGTAATATGAAATAATGTTTAAAAATACCATTATCTAATTTTATTTTTTTTTTAATTATCAAAGTATACTATTGTTTTTTAAAGCCTGTGGTATTAAAATCAGAGCACAGGAAGTGCATCGACAGAGCTGTGCAGAACTCATTACATGATGCAATCAGCCAGTGTCAAAGAGGAGCAAAGCTGTCATCTGCACCTGCCTCCAGTCTCATGACAGTGTTTTTCTGCCCCTTTGGATATACAAATACTGTTTCCAACCCAGCCTCAAACATAAACAAGTAAATAAACAACAATCCTCCAGACCCCAAATAAAAAAAACCCAACACTCTTCACATCCCACTATTAAAAACAGAGAGTAACCACACCCTTTTCTAAGTGAGGCTAAACAGTAATTCCAAGCACCTCTACAATTCTGCAAAGCCAAATACAGCATCAAGACTGGTAATAGTTACACATGATCTTCCATGAAACATGCTAAAAGCTGTTACTGGTAGAACTGAGTCTTTGAGAAACAATCTTTTCCATTAAAATGATTCATTCACATGAAGAACATGTTAAAATTTACTACCTTCAAGAACAAATATGTAATGCTTACCTCCACAGCAAATGATGGCAGCAACAAAAAGGGATATATCACTGTCATCCAGTTCTAGTGCATTGAATTTCATTGCAAAATCAAATTTTGGCTCCATTATATCACAGAACGGCTTCCTCAGGCTTTTCAGGAACTCCCGGGTTATAAAACCGTTCCCATAGGCCACCAGCATCCCGTCCTTGTTCATCACTGATGCTAACATGGCAAATATGGCTTCATAAACTCCGTATTTTAACAGTGTCACTTGATCATTCAAGTCAAGGCTGGAGAAGCCAGGGATAGATTTGGCAAATTCAGTAAGTTCTGTGACGGTCTCTACAGATGTACACTGGCAGCAGTGGAAGATTCGAACTTCTGCTTCCTTGTTCTGAATTCCATTGGCTACCAATTTTGCCACCAGGGTTTTCTCTGCCATACACAAGGTAACCATATCATGTATAACAAATGGCTACAGAGAAAAAAATACTAATTCAGTTACAAAAGAATGGGTATTTATCGTTGGTTTCCTAAAAAACAGGAATTTTGATAAACTTTAATTTTCATGCTAAACAGTCTTCAACTATCTCTAAACCTTGAGTTCTTTTATATTTCTGCATAAAGAACTGTAGAACTACAAACTGCAATATCTAAAAACAAGTCTGCTCTGCAAACACAAATAGTAGCATGTAGATATCTATTCTATATCTTTAACCTAGTTTTATCTAGTAGTTACAGTGAAGGTCCAGAAGTACTGGGCTATATATGCAAATATCCATCTCAGAGCAAGTCCCAAAGGGTCACAAAAGACTTGTATTACCTTCTCCAGAAGTCCACATTATTCTGCCTACACTCCTACAGATTCCTAAACTAACTACACCTGATGCACTTCATGCTGCTTTCCTGAAGTATCCTAGGGGGAATACAGACAGTCATTTAAATATAGGACAGCATATTTGCACACAAATGTCAACCCTGTACGACTCTTGTGTTTATTACCAGATTTTCATGCCCCAGCTGATCTACCACAGAATTTCAGCTCATCTTTCTAGCTTTTATTTAGTGCTAAGTCATCTCTAAACCCAGAATCCCACTAGAATGTCAGACAAAACATAATTTCAGTCTTGATTACAGTCTTTTCTGTAAGCACCTTAATTTAAAAAGTCACCTGCATTACAAACTGATGAGCTGGTCTCTTAAAACATCATATATATATAAAAAAAAAAGCATTCAGACTTTCTTATGAACAATCAGAACTCAAAAATATTTTAATACATGTCAGAAGAGCAGTAATCAAAACACAGGACAATTCACTAAAGGAAAAGAACTAAACCCAATACTTCTCAGCCTACCAAAGTCACAGCAGTTGACCTTGAACATACAACCAATTCCATAACTGCAAATCAAAGCACATTCCCTGCGTTGTTTTGCTTACCTCGGGTTAAATGACTGTCATGAGGAACACTTAGTCTTCTGTTAGAAACTCATAGAATGCACTTATTTGACTTAGAAAACTGCCAAAGATGCTGGTTTCCAATCATTTTAAATGCTTATGGCAACCACACGTTCCATCTCACTTCAATACTTCAAGAGTTAGAAGTTTCTACCTGCATGTGGGTATGACTGGAAAGTGGCAAAGCAATAAATCCACCACGTTTCCAAACCCTTTTAAAAGATGTAAGCTATCTTGCAAATATTTTTTTAATTCAGCATCACTTCACCATACAGGAAGTAGGTATGGCCAAGGACCATGTAAATGTAATGATACCTTGTCATCGTGAAAAAAAGCTCACTCATTCTGAAATGAGTTAGAGTGGTGCTAAGACCCAGGATTCACTGAAATCAACTCTTCATGCATTGCTCAGAAATGGGTGGATCACTAATTACCAATAACAGAACCATCATTCCTTTATTTTTTTTCCCCTGTTAAAAAGTCAAAAGAAAATTAAAATGTCTGTTTTCCCAAAAGATGATGGAATAGCTTAAAAAACCCCACTCTCCTCTTCCCTGCATGTTGAAGAATGAGGAAGCAGACTAGGTCTGACTGCTCATTAATTTTTAATTGTAAATTCATGAAGAAACCGGCAAGCCACTATTAGCTAGTCAATCAGATGACTAGTCTGAGAGCCTTGATCACACAAATGCAAACACAAAAACTGGGATGCAGGGATCTAGAATCCCTGCGTGCACGATACATACTGTAGTTTATCATTCTCACACATGGTACCAAGTTTGAAAAGGACTTTATGCAGATGCCTGCTTGGCAAGGTGTAAAAACGTTATTTAGTGTAGGCTTATGTCAGCTTGTACCCCAAAACAAGTTTAAGCTTGTGCTTAGTTTTAAGGATCTCTTTCATCCACTGAGAGAGACTGGGACTTTCATACGTCTCTCTTGTGACATAGGAATCTGTATGCTTGGCTAGATGAGACTATAATAACGCAAATTCTGTAATTTAGAAGACAGCTTGCTTACAATTTTTATAACACTCATCTCCACAGTCCCATGATAGTTATTACGGAGTATGTAAAACCTCTTCCCTGCAAATTTCTACTGATAGTCAGTCCTTATAATGGTTACACCATATCATGTGCTACAAAATGAAAAGCAGTTGATAGCATTAGATAGAACAAACTCTTCATTGCCCAATGATGTTTTTCTTGTCATACTCAATCATTTTCAGGAAAAGTATTCCCAATTGTCAAAACAATATGGTTCAGAGTTAAATCTCAAAGATGTTGTGCAACTAGTAAACATTACACAATACATCTAAATTACTAAAGACCTAAGTACCATAAATAAAAATTCTTAGACTATTCACTACTTGGAATAAAACCTTTGCTCAATGATCCTGATGGAAAAATAACCTCTATTGCATATGTGTCTTCACAGCCTTGCTTGCTTTTCCCTTTCAAATTAACTGTAAAGACCAGCAAGGCCAGGTGAGGAATTAGCCAGAACTGTATACAAAGAATTACAAACTCAAGTTTCCCCTCCTGCCATTATATTGTAGTGATTAAAACAAGTCATACAGAGCTCCTCTACACCTTAAAAGATAACAGTATGTATCCAGGCATTTGTGGCAGAAAAGCATTATTTTTTTTTCCACTGTCATAGTAGGAAATTAATTTTGAGCAGTTTCCCACACCCATAGCAAGAGGCATTCACATCCCTATGGCACTTTATTATTTTTTTATTGAGAACTAATCTTCTTCCCCTTGTGTCTCTAGTATAAATTAAGGTCATGAGCTTCCATTTACAAGTTAATCACTTGATTTTCCTAAAGCTTCGTATTATTCTGATAGCAGCTAAAAGCAACCATATTTACTACAGGTACTCTTTATTGCATATTTCATGTCTGTATTAGCATGACATTTATTTTATAAAATATTTGCTTAAGAGTTTAACAAATTATTATAATCACCTTATGCACTTGCCAGCTTTATTTTACAGTTACAGCAACAGTACTTACTGGATTGTTATTAGTTTTCCCCGCAAGGATGATTCTGGCTTTAACCTTGTTCATATTGAAGTTTTTCAGGTAAGCATCATGAATTCTTTTAGCAAGTGATTTCAGATCTGCCATTTCTGAATCTTCTACGTAATTTTCACCTGTTAGAATTTCTGCTTTCAACTTGGCCTTCTCAGACCTTGGCATTCGTCCAAAACGTATTGCTGATGGGAAGACAGAATTGTAAAACAAACAAAAGTTATAAAAAAACTCATGCCTTTTACTGTTGTTGATCAGAGCAGGAAGACTTTTGTGTCTGGAAAAACTGAGGTACAGGTAGTATCTTTATTATGATAAATTCATGAGTGAAGAAAAACCCTCCTTCTTTCCAACACAGTCAGTGACTAATTACCAATTCAATATGCTAAACTGAAGGTAAGCAGGTGTTTCAAAACACAACCTGGTATCTACAACGAGCTAGAATGTATGCATTTGCCTTCCACATTACCTAATATTGTGTTTTGTTTTCTCCCTATTATGTCAACAACTCCCAACTCAATGTCCACCTTGGGAATTCTAAAAAATGGAGTAAACTCATGTCAGGAGCCTTGCAGAGTGCACACAAGCCAGCTGGAGAGCTGCCTGGGGAGTTGCTCCACAGGGAATGCTGCAATGGAGTTGGATTTTGATCCCATTTCTGATTCCGGGGCATTCAGTCCTCTATTTGCTGGATGGTCAGTTCAAATATCTGTACTGTCTAGTGAAAACAAAAAAGACCAGTGACCCAAAACCTCCTTCTGGACCCAGCATTTTATGCTTCTTTTTTTCAATAGATTAGCCCTTCAAGACTGGAGAGGATAAGAATATTCCATCTAGTCATTAGAATGTTCTCTGAAGAGGCAGAAGAGTTGAGTTTGACACACAACTGGGTATGGAAGTCCCCCAGTTCTTGGGCTAGTGGCCTTGCCATTTAGCAATAAAACATCCACATCCTTCAGCAGTTTCAGTTTAAAACTAAACCAGCTCCCATTTCTCAAGGGGCCTTACCTTCTGATGGTGTGCAAGTTTTTGAGATGGCTGATACAGCTGGTTACTTTTACTGCATTTCTCTAAGCAAAGAGAGAACAAAACCCCACTGCTTAGACCGATCAATTCAGAGCACATGCAGAATTAGCCTTTCAAAACACCTGAGAAATTTTCTCATGACATAAGGAGGTGAATCTAGGCGTGATCTGAATTACAGTTTTGGACTTCAATTGAAGTCTAACATGGAAGGCCTGTCTGGAATCTGGCCATAAGTCTATTGGAAAAGTGGAAGAATATCTGCTCTAAATTGGAACTTACATTTTAAGGCTGTGGCTGCAAACCCAGTTCTAGCTCTTCCTGAGAAGCATTGCCTGCAATTAGCTGTAATTTCCTTCCCCCACTGCCTTCCCTGTGTTTGCTGCAGTAGAACTGCTACTGCTCCCTTTAGCTGGGGCACAGGTGCCCACAGCATTTTAGTGGGATGAAACAGCTTCAATTGAATGTTAATTACTGCCAATTAGCACAGCTTCCTGCTAAGGCCTGCCCCTGAGATGTTACTTTGTTGGCTGGCACACTCTTCCCAAGTCTGCTTCAGGAAGGTTATCACTAGTCTTGCAGAGACTATCAAGTCTCTCCCAATGGACCTTAATCTCAGTCAAGGCTCACCACAAAGGAGCCAGATTTCCCCAAAACATCAACTCTCCCAATGTCTCTTGCTAGGACTAGAGTACAACGCCATAGGCAGCTTGCCCAACTATGTCCCCACCACAGCTATCTTGCTTGCATAGTCTCCTTCACAAGTTTGTCTCTTATCTCACAGCTTTTCACCTAGCCCAGCATTTTCACCTACTTCTCACCTACTCGAAAACTGCACCTGTTCCCATATCCAGCCTTGAGACTACCAGACCTATACAGAGAAAGAGAACCACTGTCATCTGGCCAACTGAAATGAACTTTCTCATGGCTTGACCTCTCCCTCTTCCTGAAAGTCACTCAGCAACCTACACACTATTCATAAAGCTGCCTTCTGGGTTGAAATCAACCTGTAAACCACAGGCTTACCAGCTTTATCTTAAATCATTAACACAAATAACAACATAATTTTTAAACTGGCTATCTAAACGCTCTGAATTTTTACCATTCCATTTAACAAGCAACCTACCAGATCCCTGTTCCACAGTCAGCACAGATCTTTGCCCTCCCCCCACACTCCCTGAACCATCTGTCCAAGAGCTGTTGCACTATAACCTGAAAAATAATGAAATCTGGCTTCCTACAGATTTATATCCTACGTCAATATCCCCCACAAAGAGCCAGTTGTTCTCCTCCTACTCCTTTACAATGCCCAGCGTTGAAATTTGTTTCAATGGGATGAATGGTGCCAAAGTTCTGGATGAAGAAAGCAACTAAATGAACATTCATATGGACAAACAGACATCCAGCACTATTGTGTAAAGCTCCGAAGAGTACATTTGGCATCTGTGTATCAATTATATTAACTACCCATTAAGGAAACTGGTGTCCCCCTGCCGTGATCTCCACTTTAAAAATCTGGGGTTCAACTCTCACGTGTAAGTAAAAACGTTATCCAAGTGACTGCTCCCAGAAGCAGACCCTGGGCAGGAAAAAGCAAATTATTAAGGGCACTCTTACCTACCATTATGTGACATTCCAACTGAAAGGCACTTTTGGAAACGACAGTATTGGCACTTATTACGATTTTTTTTCTGAATTTTGCAGTTGCGATCACATTTATCATAGATGAGTTTTAATCGAATTGTTCTTCTAAAAAAACCCTATAAAAAGTTTGAGAAAACAGTATGTAATGTTAAAGCATGTTGAGTACTACACTTCAAGCATACAGGTAATTTTTTTTGCTTGTTCATTGACGTCGTGAAAAAAAAAAATATACAAAGTATAACCTGTCCAAAGGTAAGACTCTCCTGTGCTACCCAGTGAAGTGGTGTGTAGGAAGGCATGTGTAGAATGGAAAACACAAAAGGAGGGAGCAGCTCTCAGCCCTCTCTCTTGGGAGAGGACCAGAGGCTCGGAGTCCCTGAGTAGATATGCCCGTAAGGATTAAGCAAGACAGTCACGTACTGCTTTTGTATGCACTCTCCCAGCCTTTTCTGTCAGGAATAACCTTCATCATACATGTAAGTTGTACAAACATACAGATTTAAAATATCTTTTCTTCATCCAGCAAATGTGAGGGGTAGAACAAAACAGCAGTGTATATTAGAAAAAGCCAAAGACACAAAAATGAGCATTACAGAAAAGCCTGTAACTCAACTGATCTTACCATGATGTCTTCAAACACTAGTCTCGTACTATGAAACACTGGGTTAGCAAACTTTTGTAGAGATATTGCCACAGTTTGCTTCACCTGACATAAAAACATGTAATTTAGACTGTGGGATACATCTGACGATGAACTGGCTCCCCATCTCTTAACAGAGATGGCATTATTCCCTAAGATTTATATTTGAATTACCATCTTCTGACATTAAGCAATAAAAAAAACCTTACACAGACACAATGACTTCTCTCACCTTACATTATTATTTAGGAAAAAATGCAAAACCAAAATGTTAGAAGGAAAAAGAAAATATTATAATTCCTGGGCCATGTAAATCCCCCAAATTATGCATCAATGATAACACTAATCTGCCCCAGAGACATGCACTGGCCCCAGAACTGCAAGACATACAACACTAAGTGATTGTGGCAGAATGGGGAGGAGATGAGACTTGTTACTGTTGTAATGGAAATGTAGCAAACTCACATGCTTCTCACAGCCATACTCCCAACACAAATAAAACACTAGTGGAGCAATTAGGCTTTGACTTTTAGTCACAGTTTAGTGTTTTAAGTTGTCTTAGTGTTGATCTAGGTATGCCCAGAAAAGCAGCACTAAACTTATCACCGTGAATTGCCCCTGCTTGATGAAGGTATTGAGTTATGGTAACCAGTTATGGTATCTGAAAAATTCATTTCAGCAACAAAGATCACAGATACGTTTCTTATTTAAATAATTGCAACGGCTAGAATCATGTTAATGAAACATTTTTTTATCTTCATCTAACCCTGTAAATAAAGCAACATGTTTTAGGCTCTTAAAAAGAAAATTACAACTGTACCTTACAACCTTCACAAGCATGTACTCCGTAATGGTAGCCTGAGGCTTTATCCCCACAAATCCTACATTCAATGTTTAATGCTCCACTGGGTGATTCATCTATGCTACCTGGAGCTGTGGCAAAATTAATGGATGAAGGACTGGATGCTGGTGAAAGGGTGTCTAAAAGAAAAAGGAACACTTCATAAATGCTATGCTATCAAGATTGATACCATTTCTACCCACAAAAAAATGTGCTTATTCTAAAAAATAATCATGAGTTAACAGTCATTAAGTGAACTAATCATTTGGCCATGTTTGAAAAATAATTAATATTTATATTAACAGTGTAAACACACACAACATACAGGGTGTTCCCTGCTAATTTTGATGAGACATACAATGTCAACAAACAAGAAGCCTTACCAAAGTAACCCTGATAACAAGAACTAGAAGAGTAACAATGGTTCTCAATAAACATGCACCACACAAAATACGAGAAAACCAAGCTTTTTTGGATTTTCCCATGTTCCATTTTTACTTTGATTTCTTTCAAACATGTCTAAATTTGATATGAACATGAAATTTTTGTATCCCACAACTTAAAATAACTAAAAAGCACTGAATTAATATTTCTTCTAAGTCAAGGACATTTTCTTAACCGTAAAAACACAAGTTCACCATCTTCATAAGTAAATTAAATTTGGAAAACAGTATTCAACATTTGCCTACTGCTCAAGGCAAATACTACCAAGTATAAAAAGAAAAAAAACAACCCACAATTAAATAGAACCCCTCATGATTTGAGGTGTGTATCACAATACAATTCAACCTGTCTCTCGCTCTCTTGCCATTACACCTTCCACCTCTTGTGCTGAAGTGCTGAGCACAAGATGTATTGCTATGGGATGACAAGAGACATATTTCTAGCTCATGCTGAGATACAGTTAAAGTCCCCTTGACTTCTGGAGAGCTACTCATAGTTTTAAATGATGATCTAAACTGAGGCCTAAAAAGCAGTTGGACATCTTTTTTTAAAGAAAAAGTGAAATTTTCTCAGAGTGAAAACATGCTCCTGCACACCAGCTGAGAGGCCAAACAGATATTAAAAGCAAGGTCACGTAACTGTCTGCTTCTAAGATAATCCAGCAATAGAAGCTTTGCTCAGGTAATTTATCTTTTGATTATAATGGGAAAAGCATTTCTGGATTTCTGTACAATAAAAGAAACTCTTCCAAAATTTTACTACTAGAGGAACATGATACAAAACTAACACATTCCAACCTTAATTATTTCAATTAATATTTCCACTCTATTTGAGGAAAATATTTTCTGAGGCCAGAATTTCTTTTATCTTCCATCTTGCAACTTGCACCACAAGACTTGAGCAAATTAATGGGTGTGTTATTTTAACAGAAAGATTAAGAAACACTTGTGAATGTAGGTCAGCCAGTATTATGTTGGAAAAAACCTTGGCACAGAATTCAGTCTGCATTGCCAGCACTGCCAAGCCCACAGGCATCAAAGTCCTCAAGAACAGCCTAAACCCCAGGATTTTTTTTAAGTGTGATTCTCATTTCTTTTTACTTCTTATAGAATTCGACCCTTAAAAGTTTACATTTTCCATCTTCTCTAACACCAAAACTAGAATGTTTTGCAGTGAACACTCCAATTAGAAGGTGACAGTAGAAGCTGATCTAAATTATTGCAGGACCTGCACACACATCCACACAAATAATGAAAAAACCCAACTTCTCTCAGAAGGACTATGTTACAAACCCAGCACATAACTTTTCCTCTGGAAGGCATCTCTCTAACATGAAGGTCTGCAATCAAAAGGGACTCAATATTTCTACAAAGGTCCTTTTGGGTGATAGTGCCAAGAGGCAGGTCTCCTTTCCCCCTTCAAGACTCACACTACTAATTTCAACCACTTCAGCAGAGAAGCATGCCTCAGTTGTACTGGTGCAGTTTTGGTAATGAAAATAGTGATCACAGCCCAGGAATTGATTTAAGGTAAGAAACCACAAAACAAAACATAATGTAAAATAACCAGAAAGTTAATAATAAACTGCTTTAAATGGCTCTAGGGCTAAAAGATTTGTAAATCCCTAGTTTCAAAAGGAATACCTTACTGACATTATTGCAGTGTCCCATATCCACTTTGATCTCTCAAACAAAACCTCTCACAAAGATCTTCTGACTAAAGACCAGGTAATGTATTAGCACCCTGAGACTGTTAATTTAACCAGGGTAGAAGTCATTAGCTGAACAACGCTACTCTTGAGAAGGGGGAGAAAACACCATGTCCAAAACATCAGTACACTAAAATATACTGGAATTCTTGGTGAGCTTTTAAGGGTTAGATTATAAATTTCAGGCAAACGTTTCAAAATACTTCACAAATAGATGTGATTAGAATGAAGTTTAAAAAATGGGAAATTAGTACAAGATTGTGACTTCCTGCATGATTACACTAAACAGTAGCTTCTTTGTGATTTATAGTGAGAGATATATATATAGTGATTTATAAGTTATTTTGAAAAAGATGTTGATACTAATGACAATTTAAAGCAGTAACATTTTGTTACACTGATTTTTCAGTAACATTTGTCTAATAAACTAACTTTAGCCTTAAAGATTTCAAGACCATGCTATCATCAGCTTATCTATTTCTAGTGACACTTAGTCATAAACAAGTATTGCATTAAAAAAGTTTTAAATTTCTATTACTATGTATTTGTATAAAGGAAGTTTTATGGTAAACGAAAACTGTCTTACCCGTTATAACTGATCCATCAGATCCTGGACCATTTCCCAGTGACTGGAACTCTGTTAAACTTAAAGCTCCAGAGCTATCATCACCTAGAGACTGAGAAAGGTCTTGAATGTTGTCCATATCTTGTAGGAACTCTCCAGATAAAGGGCTGCCTATGTCATCGTCCTCCAAGGGAGTAAGAGGATAGAGCTGGTTTTCGGTGTCCACCATTTTGATCAAATAGAGCAGTCACTTAAACTTCTTTACACTGGGGAAAGAATAATTAAAAAAATAATAATCCTATACTTACAATATTAGAGGATTTTAATTTTTAATATTTGAATCAGTTAAAGCACACTGAATACATGAATTCTAATTCAGTCATGAAAAATTATACAACATTCAACATCATTAGCAGGACAGAGAAAAAGCCAAACATCCCCAAAATACATCAATACGAATTAAAGTTACTCAAAGATCAATCTCTAGACTGTTGTTTTCCCTCCTTTGCTGACAAAAGTTGTCTATTGAGTTTTCAAAGCAGGCATTATGCACTTCCCACCAAAATGTATAGTAAATTAACACATATAAATATGCATTAGTGTTATGTTTGAGGAGTCTTTTCTCACCTTATCTAACAGGTTTAGATATGTTCATTTGGTCCTCTGTTCTCATGTCTTTTACATTTGTTCGATAGGTCTTACGACACTGCAGAGAACAAAATACTGTCTTACACTAAAATATTTGTAGAAGTGGGCCAAACTAATACTTTTTTACTGACTCTGGTCAAAGAACCCGTTCAGCAAGAGTGCTCCAGCATATACAATCCAATATATCTGTAATTCCTAGCGTTAGCTTTATTTCCCCCAGTGAACTAAGCTTTTAAAATTGCCTTCAAAACTAGCCATCACTGCCAGCAACTTTCAGTGACACCACAGGTTCCTAAGAAAACATCACACATTTTAATTCTCCTTCTATTGACTTGTCAGGGAATGCATCAGTGAATGCACCGCAGAAGGTTACTGCTGCTGCACAAACCTGCTGCTGCTAAAAGAAACTCATCTTTTACACCGTGTACCTAACCTAACCGAGTTGTACTGAGTGTGCCTACCAACACGTGCTGCTGCAGACTTGTCCATGCCATGAATATGCAGGAGCAGTCGGAGAAGCTCTGGCTGTTACTGTGGTTACCGCTCAGCCCTCAGTTCCTTTGCAAAGAACACGTGCTCCCTGCACTTCATTGGGAAGCCTGAGACTGCCAAACACTGCCTGCCTGGGGATACACAAATGCTGATTTTGCAACAAAAATGGTAAAAAACCCAAACCAAAACAACAAAAAAAACAACTTCCTTGGTGTTAAAGTCTCAAATGAGCTTGATTACTATGATGATAAACATTTTGTGTGAAGAAATAAATAATTGTCTTTGCTAATTTGTGACAAATTCACCCTGTGAAAATCAGACAATTATTCTGGAGAAAAAAAAAGAAAAAAGTCATATTTGGCTATGCAATTGACCAAAAAGGTACAATTAAAAGCAAGACAAATTGCTGACTTCTGCTTTTCATACTACTGACTGAAAAGAGCCATCACTTGCGTTCAGCCACGTTTAAAAAACACTCAAAATGTTCTGAAGCAAGATATCTACAATCAAGCCTTTCATCCCCAGCCTGGTGGCAAAGGGCTGCCTTCACTTATATTTGCATAACTTTACAGGGTATTACATAGCTGTATCTGAGGGCAGAATGACCCACTCTAAAGAGGACTAAAAGCTATGCTTGTGACAACCTGCAATGTGCACACGGTTTTTAAATTATTTATGTTTCAGGTGCACTTATCAGCGCACACTGCTACTTCTTTCTGCCATTTCATGGGACACCAATGGTGCACATACATCACTCCTATAGTGTTCGCCAGTGTGTTCATTACATGACTGTAAGGCCAAACCATTAAAACCCCCTCCCTACTGCATCACATAAGGCCTTCTGTTCCACAGTTTGCATTGTTGCAGCTAATCGGTATTATTTCAAGTATATATCTTAGACTTGGCAAATGTATATACTTTGATTTTCAGAACACCCCTTTTCTTTATTACTGGCATCCACTGGCTGTAGTGGTACATCCTAAAACCCTTTATTAATTTTCAGCCAAGTGAATATACATAAAAATTGTAACCTCTCAAGTACAAGGGGAGATTGAAACTGTACTGTAATTATATAAACAATAAAACTCTAATTATTAGAATAAAACAATATGTCCTATATATCTTTGGGCAATTTTTTATAGGTCTGTCCAACATTGTACCTGTTTTTTGAAAGAAACTATGTTGAGGATAAAAAAAGTTTACTGAACCAGTGTCCAGTTAGATTATCTTTCCTGCAATTTATTAAAATATTACTGCTACAGTATTTAGCTTTTGGCACATTTTTCCCAACCCAAATACAATTTCACATCAAAGATACGGATTTTTTTCTCCCCAATCTAATAGTTTACCATGTACCTGGAAAGACAGAACTAAAGGAGCAGCAGACACATAGCCAAATCCTGAGCTCCTACTTATTTACTCAGTTCACACACACAGAAATGGAGTTCTTTGTGAATGTAAACACTGAACGTTTCAGGATCTGTCCAGCATTAACTGAGATGACAAAGTTTTCAGATGGTTCATTGTATCTTGACCATTAAAACTAAGCCAAACACAATAAACAGTTCTGAAGGCTGAAAGAATAACAAATTGTAAGAGTCAGATCTCCAAATATCTGATTTTATAAACAAGATAGAATACTGGTCTCCCTTGAGTAGGAAAAAAAACAGATGCTGTTACTATTATGGACTTGCCATCTCATACTACAGGACCCTTAGTAAAGATTGATTTGCCCAATTCCTTTGAAACTGGATAGTATTAACTAGAAAAGGAAAATATGCCCTAGATCACAAAGTGTAGCAAATAAGAGCATCTAGGAGACTAAGAATGGGAATGTATCCATTATTTCTAACACCAGTCAGACAACAGATATGTCACCACTGATTTTACTTGGACGTGTCACGTTGCTACTCTATGACTATACACAGCTTGCCTGTATTTAAAAATAAAAGTCACATTAAGTTTTCCATTTTGATATATTAAATACTCACTGGGATATTGTGCCAGATTGTCAGCACTGTAATGGAATATTTATAAGCAATACAAGAGTTTTCATGCACATTTCAAGTTCTTCCTGAAGGGATCAGTTGAAAGGCTGCTGCAGCTTTTGAGAGCAACCAAGCAATACTGACTGGGAGGTCTGGCTACTTCACAATGTAAAAGAACATTTTAAACAAAAACAAAATAACTGCTTTCACATCAAGGACTGAATTGTAGCTGCTATCACTTACAGACCCTGTAAGATTTCCATAATCTGAAACTATTTAGTAAAATAACACTATTTTAAAAGTCAACAGTTGTCCTATCTCGTTCCCTTACAAATCTGACTGGCTTGGAACCTGACAACATATTAAGAAATATCTACATTTGTTACTTATAAGTCTGACAGAAAACTGAAAATAGAAAATGCTTGTAACATACACAACCATAGTTCCTGAAGAAAAAAAATATCAGAAATTATATAAATGAAGACCCTAAATAAAATACTACTTAAAAATAAAATAATTAGCCTAATGCTAAGAGTGTATGGTTGTACACCAAGGAAAAATGGCACAGATTATTGTAGATTATCTGACAAAGATTTTATCGCTAAACCACCTGCATTTATTCACAGCAACACTTCCAATCACAAGAAGACTCAAGATGCACAGCAATTTTGCAGATGCAGAGCACATTTACAAAACATTATTTTCACAAAGTAAGAAAAAGATTCAACTGCGAACGATTCTGGTTAACATCATCTGTTACTCTCTGCTAATGCTTTCAATCTCGTAGATCTTTGCATAGTTTCTCTGTTGATGCAGCATGAACCAGCTCAGCAGCACCTGGAACTTACTGCTGGTTCCTGTTCGTTATCTAACAGATTTCAAAGCACTACATTAAGTACCTGATATCCCTGATATAAGTGGAATATACTCCAGTTGAGTAATGAGAAATCACTTTTATGTGTTTTATTTATGAAATCAAAGTTAAATTGCTGTCCCTGTGACGTGGCTCTTTTGTGATGAGGGAAAAGCGTAAAGCAACCTTGATATAAGTTGTTTTTGTAATGATAGCCAAGAATAAAAACAACTGTTCTCTGGCAATCCAAAAGAGACTACCAAAGTTGTCTCCCTAAGGGGCCATCAGCAAAAAAGGAAGAAAGGAATGGCAGAGCACACAGTCAGCACTGCTCCTCTGGTGTGCTCTTCACGAGGTTCTCCCGGGCTAGAACAGTTCATGGCACAGAAACATTATATTCCCCTGCAGATACGTAGCAAGAGGACACTGTCCTGGGACAGCTGGGGAGGTTCCAGGAGGCACTGGGCTCCTTGCATCCAAGATTACTTCAGGTTCCCTACTGAACCATGTACATCTCTCCCGGTACGACTTCTGCATCCAGCACAAGCATCGATAAAAGATTAAGTGAATGCTGAAGTCTCCCTTGAAACAAAATAGGCATTATTTGACAGGAAAGCGAAGGAGATGCTCAATAGCTGGACTCTGAGCACGGCAACAGCTCTTTCAGCAGCCTGCCTGGTATTGCCCAAATTGCACTATGCTTTTCCACATTTACAGTAAATATTTGAAACTCAGTAGACTTTTTAGCTGGACTTATGTAAGAACAACCTAACAGCTAGTGAAACATAAATGAAGGGCTTATTGTTTTAACTTAAATTACATACCCTTTTGTACTTTCAAACACTACTAGTAAATTACAGCTGTTTAATCATTATGGCTCTTGTCAATGATCAACTAGCTACCTTAGCAAGCACAGCCATTACGTAACCCTTTCTGAAGACTATCAAAGTATGCTAATATTTTCATTACTAAAAGAGTTAGAATTAGTTTGGTGCTTTTTTCATAAGCATGCAAAGCTTTTAAGTAAAATGTCTAGTAGTCATGCAATAAACCATTTGCCTTCTGTCTTCCCCGTGCATTGTGCATGTTTACACCTGCTTAATATGCATTAATCCTTATTTCTGTGAAAAGAAAGTTTCTAAAACAGGAAGAGTAATAAGTATGAAGTTCATTTCAGTAGTATTCACAAAGAGTATTTTGTTTTACAAAAAAAGTTGAGCCTATTACAACAGTAGATTGCTGTGGTAGCTACAGCACGATGATTC